CGGGGGGTTTTCCACTGGTCAAGCCCCCCCCTCATCATTTTTTCCTGCTGCGTGGTAGGAAATCCTGCTGTCCCCCCATCACCACCCCAGGCTGGTGGCATCCCACCAGGCAGGATGAGCCCGTGATGGGGGGGCCTTGGGGGTGCCTGTGGTGCCAAGGGGGCCGTGGGGGTGCCCGTGGTGCCAGGACCAGCTGAGCACCGGGTGCCGGGTGCCGTGAGGGCGCAGGAAGCAGCTGGAGGGAGGCAGAGGCCGGTGTTTCCACAGCTGCAGCGGCTCTACCGGCCCACGCACCCGCTCCCGGTAAATCCCCGGGAGACGCTGCGAGAGGAGCTTTGCATGTGGTGCCCGGTCTGGGAAAATCCCCGGGGGTGGGGGGTGGTGGTGGTGGTGATGGTGATGGTGGTGATGGTGGTGGTGATGGTGATGGTGGTGGTGGTGATGGGGGGACAGCAGGGATGAAGTGCCCATCACCGGGACCTTCTCCCCGCAGCTTCCCCCCCACCCCGGGTGAGGGGTCTGAGCCCACCTGGTGGCAACGGTCCCGGTGAACGTCCCGGTGGCTTCGGAGCTGCTGGTTTGAAGGTGGGGGGGCGTCCTGGACCTTGTGGGGAGCTGCTGGCACTGCCCAGGGATCCATCGGTGGCCGGCGGGGAGCTGCCATAAGCTGCCTCCGGCAGAGGAACGGGGCTCTGTGGGGCCAAAGGGAGGTGAGGAAGAGGGGGAGGGAGGAAGAGCCTTGGGGGTCCGTGGGATGGCAGCCACTCACGTAAAACCTCGGCCGTGCCACCGACAGGTCCATGCCCTCGCTCAACCTTCGTGCCTTCTCCCCAGGATCCGGTCCCTCGTCCAGCTCCAGCTCCTGGCTCTCCAGCCCCAGCCCCTTGCGCTTCAGCGTCTGCAGGGAGCGGGGTGGTGAAGTGATGAGGAAGGGTGTCCTGCGCCCCCCTTCCTCCTCGGGACCCCCCCCAAACCTGTCCCCCACCCTCCACCAGGCGCTAGCTACCTCGAGGATGTCGGAGTTGGTGCGGCTCTCGTGGGGCTCGCTGTACTCCGTGTACTTGAGCAGGACCTTGTCCATGTCGGTGCTGGCGTACTGGAAGAGGCGGTTGGTGCTGTTGAAGATGATGAGGGCGATCTCGCAGTCGCAGAGGACGCTCAGCTCGTAGGCCTTCTTCATCAGCCCGAATTTCCGCTTGGTGAAGGTCACCTGCAGGGAAAAGGGATGGGAGATGCTGCACCCAGGACCTCCAATCCCTACTCCTGGGTCCCCAAACCTCCCTCCTGTGTCCCCAAACCTTCCTCCTGTGTCCCCAAACCTCCCTTCTGTGTCCCCAAACCCCGCTACTGTGTCCCCAAACCTCCCTTGTGTCCCCAAACCTCCCTTCTGTGTCCCCAAACCTCCCTTTTGTGTCCCCAAACCCCCCTCCTGTGTCCCCAAACCTCCCTTCTAT